GAACTATAGAGCTAAAAGCAACCAGTAACAGATATTAAAAATATACAGGCAAACCTTAACTATGAAAGAAACTATTTTTCAATTATTTTTTAGAAAACTAATGTTGACCTAAAGATGATTAAACTATTAGACCAAAGTAGTTAAATAGCTTGGTCCATAGTTTCTGGATGTCAAGACCTGCTGTTATTAACTCATTCTTGAATTTTGTCAATTTTTCCCACAAGCCCCAGTGTAATAGGGCACTATTATTCTTATTTGAGAGATGTACATATATGTTTTTGGCTGCATGAAAACATGAAACTAAAAGTAGCCATAAGATTTTTGATTCCAAGGGCCCTTCCACACAGCCCTATATCCCAGGATATCAAGGCAGAAAATCCCACAATATCTGCTTTGAACTGGTTTATCTGAGTCCACACTGGGATACAGGGCTGTGTGGAAGGGCCCCAAGAAAAGTGGAGCTTGAATACCACAGCAAAGCAGAAACAAATTTTTTCTGTCACTTAGGCCAATGGACATGAAGATTAAAGGGTTTTAATAATTGTAGCTCCAAAATGAACAACTTTGTAAAACTCCTAACATGCATTAGGCCAGTGCTGTTGATTTTGAAGAACCAAATCCAGCCCTGTAAACTGTTAGAAATTGTGGGATTTTAAGTCCAAAACACCTGGAGAACTGAAGTTTCCCATACCTGGTCTATATACATATACATGTTTAAGTTGCCTGTTGATTTATGGAGACCTCATGAATTTTATAGAGTTTTCTTAGGCAAGGAAGTGCCATTCTCTGAAATCTGTCCTATAGTATCTGGTACAGTGGGCTCTTGCTTTCTACTGGGGTTTGATTCCAGGATGCCCATAGATATCAAAATCCATGGATACTCAAGTCCTATTATATACCATGATGTAGTAAAATGGTGGCCTTAATATACATTGGCAAAATAAATGTTTGCATTTTTAAAAAAGATTTTTTAAAATTTACATTTATGGGTAGTTAAATCTGTGGATACAGAGCAATGACCTTATTTAACTACTAACCAGGGCTGATTCTGCTTAACTTCCAATAGCAGTGGTGCCTTTGGGGGTATTTAGTTCTTAATAATTATTAGAGAAGTTTAAAAATGGTTGATACATTCCCTATTGGTTTGTTGGCACACTTTTATTGTGTCTGAGCAGATCTGCTAAATAGGAACTGGGATAATGACCAAGGTTGCCAACAAGTTTCTGAGCAAAGTGTTGGTTTTGATGTGTTGTTGAAGGCTTTTGTGGCTGGAATCGGTGGGTTGCTGTGAGTTTCCAGGCTGTATGGCCATGTTCCAGAAACATCCTCTCCGGACGTTTCACCCACATCTATGGCAGGCATCTTCAGAGATTGTGAGGTCTGTTGGAAACTAGGAAAATTGGATTTATATATCTGTGGAATGTCCTGGGTGGGAGAAAGAACTCAAGTCTATTGGAGGTAGGTTTGTTGTTTTTTTTCCGTGTCAGGAGCAACTTGAGAGGCTGTGTTGATTTCAAATCTGCTCTTCTGCTTTCCTTCAGGATCCCTTCCTCTTCCCCTTTTCTATCCTTTCAGCTTGCTTGTGCCCTTAGTACTAGGATTATGTTTTAATAGTTTTATGATATATATATATGTTTTAACTGTTTGTTGTATCAATGTATTTTACTTTATGTTATTGCATAATGCAGCATTGAATATTGCCATTATGTATGCCGCTTTGAATTCCCTGCAAGGGTGAGAAGAGTGGGATAGACATACAGTAAATAAGTAAAAAGGGCAGGATCAATAAGTGAAAAAATAAGCAGAAGGTGGCTTTAAATCTCTGAGGCTAAATCCAATTCTGTGACCCAGGTAAATACATTGAATGTATGGGACTTTTTCAATGCATTTTTTCATGTCAGGATGGACTTGAGAAACTGCAAGTTGCTTCTGATGTGAGAGAATTGGCCATCTGCAAGGATGTTGCCCAGGGGTTGTTTTACCATCCTTGTGGGAGGCTTCTCTCATGACCCCGCATGGGGAGCTGGAGCTGACAGAGGGACCTCCCCAGATTCAAACCTGCGACCTGTTGGTCTTCAGTCCTGCCAGCACAAGGTTTAACCCATTGCGCCACCAGGGGTTCCTTTGGAGGTAGGTGTGAATGTTTCAATTGGCCACCTTGATTAGCATTTGATGGCCTGACAGTTTCTAGGCATGACTTGTTACTGCCTGGGGGAATCCTTTGTTGCGAGGTGATTAGCTGTCCCTGATTGTTTCTTGTCAGGTGTTTCCCCGTTGTTTGAGTGTTGTTCTCTATTTGCTGTTATAATTTCAGAATTTTTTAATACTGGCAGGGAGCCCTCAGTGGGTTATACCACTGAGCTGCTGAACTTGCTGATTGAAAGGCTACAAGTTTGAATTCGGGGAGCGGTGTGAGGCCCTGCAGTCCGAAAACCTGCAAATGTGAGTAGATCAATAGGTACCACTCCAATGGAAAGGTAATGGCGCTCCATGCAGTCAGGTTGGATGAGCACCAACCCCCAGAGTCAGACACGACTGGACTTAATATCAGGGGAAAACCTTTACCTTTACCTAGGCATCTTCCTCTGAACGTGCAATGCAGCTGAGCATGAAGGAAGGTCGAGAAATACTGCTCTAGAGGTTTCTACCAACTCTGGGGTCCTATCTTGTTGCGTGGGGGGGGGGGGGCTATATTATTTATATATTTCAGGCATTTCTATCCCGTCCTTCTCACCTCCGAAGAGGACTCTGGATGGCTTACAGCAGGCAGTCATTAGATGCCAAAATATAATACATTAAAATTCACAGTTACAATTGACACAATTAAAACAATAATAAGCATTCAATTAAAAACAGTTTGCCGGTTCAAAACATAATCCAAATCAGCCCATTGCAGTCCACTAAAACATTATTTTCCCAGTTGATCCATTTATTGCACAAACGCTTGATCCCAAAAGCCAGGATTTGAGTTTTTTTACGAAAGGGTAGGAGGAAGGGGTTTAATATCATTGGGGAGAGAGTTCCACAGATGAGAGAGCCCACCACAGAGAAGATCCTGTCTCTTGTCCCCACCAGTCACGACTGCAAAGGAGGTGGGACCAAGAGCAGGGCCTCCCCTTATGACAGTGTTTCTCAATCTGGGGGTCGGGACCCCTGGAGGGGTCATGAGGGGGTGTCAGAGGGGTAGCCAAAGACCATCAGAAAACACAGTATTTTTTGTTGTGTGGAAAGTTTGGCCCAACTCTCTTGGTGTGGTTCAGAATGCTAGTTGATTGTAGGTGAACTATAAATTTCAGCAACTACAACTCCCAAATGCCAAGTTCTATTTTCCTCAAACTCCACTAGTGTTCACTGAGTATTCATGCCAAGTTTGGTTCAGATCCATCATTGTTTGAGTGACCCACAGTGCTCTCTGGATGTAGGCGAACCACAACTCCAAAACTCAAGGCCAGTGCCCACCAAATCCTTCCAGTATTTTGTGTTGGTCATGGGAATTCTGTGTGCAACTACAGCTCCCAAATGTCAAGGTCTATTTTCCCTAAAATCCACCAGTGTTCACATTTGGGCATGTTGGTTATTCATGCTAACTTTGGTCGAGATCTATCATTCTTTGAGTCCACAGTGCTCTCTGGATGTAGGTGAACTATAACTCCAAAACTCAAGGCCAATTCCCACCAAACCCTTTCAGTACTTTCTGTTGGTCATGGGAGTTCTGTGTGCCAAGTTTGGTTCAATTCCATTGTTGGTGGTGTTCAGAATACTCTTTGATTGTAGGTGAACTATAAATCCCAAATGACAAAATTAATCCCCCACCCCCAACCTCATCAGTATTCAAATTTGGGTGTATTGGGTATTTGTGCCAAATTTGGTCCAGTCAATGAGAATACACCCTTACATATCAGATATCTACATTACAATTCACAAGAGTAGTAAAATTACAGTTATGAAGTAGAAGCAAAAATAATTTTGTGGTTTAATGTATTGTCGAAGGCTTTCATGGCCGGAATCACTGGGTTGCTGTAGGTTTTTTTGGGCTATATGGCCATGTTCTAGAGGCATTCTCTCCTGACGTTTTGCCTGCATCTATGGCAAGCATCCTCAGAGGTAGTGAGGTCTGTTGGAACTAGGAAAATGGGTTTATATATCTGTGGAATGACCAGGGTGGGACAAAGAACTCTTGTCTGCTGGAGCTAGGCGTGAATGTTTCAACTGACCACCTTATTATTATTATTATTATTATTATTATTATTATTTATTAACTTTGTTTCTACCCCGCTACCATCTCCCCAAGGGACTCGGTGCGCCTTACATGAGGCCGAGCCTTGATTAGCATTTCATGGCCTGGCAGTGCCTGGAGCAATCTTTTGTTGAGAAGTGATTAGATGTCCCTGATTGTTTTTCCTCTGTTGTTTTGCTGTTGTAATTTTAGAGTTTTTTTTAATACTGGTAGCCAGATTTTGTTCATTTTCATGGTTTCCTCCTTTCTGTTGAAATTGTCCACATGCTTGTGGATTTCAATGGCTTCTCTGTGTAGTCTGGCATGGTGGTTGTGAGAGTGGTCCAGCATTTCTGTGTTCTCAAATAAGATGCTGTGTCCAGGTTGGTTCGTGAGGCGCTCTGCTATGGCTGACTTCTCTGGTTGAAGTAGTCTTTAGGAAAGCTGAGAACCACTCACTGCCTTATGATCTTAACGTCCTTGGTGGTTGGTAGAGGGAGAGATGTTCGGACAGGTAAACTGGGCCAGAACCCTTTCTGGACACTGCAATACCTGAGAGGGTGGAGTGGCCAGGGGCGGGGCCAGGTCCTCCCAAGTGCGCGCCTTTGGACTGCGAAAGGGCCGAAGTGAGAAGGGAAGGGAGCTGCTGCGGGAAAGGGCGACTCTTGCCGCAATCCCGAGCACCGGCTTGCAGGGGAAAAGGGGCTCCAGAGCCGGCAAGGAAAAAAAAACTGAAGTGGAGCAAGCAAAGAGAGGGAGAGAATTGGCCCAAGGTGGTTTCCTGTAAGCCACATGCTCCGAGGGAGCTCTTTATAAGGCCAAGTGGGAGGCGAGCGGCGCTGGAAACCAAGAGGCAGGAGCAGCAGCAGCAGGAGGAGGAGGAGCAGCGGCGCCCAGTGGAAGTGGCCCAGCTCGCCTTTCGCTTGGCTACCAAAGCCACTCAGGGGAAGAAGTTCAGACACATCGCCGCTCCGTGCAAACGCGGGATCCAGAGACTCTTCGGAGAAAGCCTGCAAGGTAGGCGTGCTTCCAATCTCCTTCCTTTCCCTCCCTACATCCTTCCTTTCTCCCGGGACGTATGGCGTTTGTAAGGGACCTGTCCGGAGCCGTGGAGACTTTGTTCAGGGAGGACCTACTGCTCACTACGCCCATTCCTGCCCCTGGCTGGCTCCTCGGCCCCTTTGGGCACCTGCCCAGCCTTCTTCCTTCCCCTTATTATGGACTTTTCCTTGACTTCGCAGGACAAGAAGTGTTTATCCCTTCTCCCCCCTTTTTTGCACAGGCTTCAGCTATGCTCGAAGTAACTTTCCTCCCGGGTGAGCATCTGCACTATAGAAGGAATGCAGTCTGACACCACTCTCACTTCTTTGGGTCAAGACTATGGGATGTTGGGAGTTGTAGTTTGGTGAGGGACCAGCAGGCTTTGGCAGAGAAGGTTCAAGACCAGGCATGGGCAAACTTGGGCCTTCTCTCCAAGGGTTTTGGACTTCAACTCCTACCATTCCTCACAGCCTCAGGGCCCGAGGCTGTGAGGAATGGTCGGAGTTGAAGTCCAAAACCCCTGGAGGGTCCAAATTTGCCCAGGCCTGCTCTACATACCCATAGGAAAGGGCCTGAGGATGTGAGGAATAGTGGGAGTTGGAGTCCAAAACCCCTGGAGGGTCCAAATTTGCCCAGGTCTGCTCTACATACCCATAGGAAAGGGCCTGAAGCTGTGAGAAATGGTACGAGTTGGAATCCAAAACCCCTCGAGGGACCAAATTTGCCTAGGCCTGTTCTACATATCCATAGGAAAGGGCCTGAGGCTGTGAGGAATGGTGGGAGTTGGAGTCCAAAACCCCTGAAGGGTCCAAATTTGCCCAGGCCCTCTCTACATACCCATAGGAAAGGGCCTGAGGCTGTGAGGAATGGTGGAAGTTGGAGTCCAAAACCCCTGGAGAGTCCAAATTTGGCCACCCTTGCTCTACATAGTTGGGCAATACTTCAAGACCATGTAAAATACAGCTTTTATGCTTCCATAGCCTTGAGCCCTGGCAGATAAAGCAGAGTCAAGCTACATGCACCCAGAGTGGCTGAATGGTTTTGAAACCGACCTGGTGCGAATGTAAACTTTGGTATATTTAATTCCCCCAACCTACAGCTAGCAGGAAACATGGCCCGGAGTGAAGCTGGCTTTCACTTGAGTCTTCTGGCCAGCCACTGAGGTCCAGCTCCAAGGCAGGCAAGCTTGGAGGCTGCAAAGAATTAATTTTCCTCCACTGTACCAGCAGAGCTGCTGAGCAAAAGGTCAGTGGTTTGAGCCTGGGAAGCAGGGTGAGCTCCTGTCTGTCAGCTTCAGCTCCCCATGTGGGGACATGAGAGAAGCCTCCCACAGGATGGTAAAACATCCCCTGGGCAACGTCCTTGCAGACGGCTGGTTTTCTCACGCCAGAAGCGACTTACTGTTTCCCGAGTCACTCCTGACACTAAAAAAAGTGAGAATTAGGCTTGGAAGACTATGATACCCTATCTGTAGGGTAGATCTGGAAAAATCTCCGCACACCTGCTCTTCCATGCTGTGCCTAAGGAGGCAAAAAATAGGTGTGCCTTTAAACCAGGAGTGGGGAAAGTGTGAACCTTGGAGTTGTTTCTGCAGCTGTCGATCCCTCAATTACATTCTTTAGAACACACACAGAGAGAAAATATGCACATATATGTAGCAAGAGAGAGAAGATAGATAAGAGGAATTTACTCTCCTGGACACTCCTAGGTGCAACAGTTTGCCTTTTAAATAAATTGCATTTTCTATCAGCATGGGAATTCTGGTTCTCCCCCCTCCTTTTTTTTTTCTCTCTCTCTCCCTTGCTCTTCGGTCTATGCATTCCTGGGGCAGGAATCTGGCCCCTGGACCTTCTGTAGTAGTCCTTCCCAGCCTTAAGCGTTTGCAGAGCATCTTGCGTCACCGCAGTAAACACTGTTTGCACATCACTTTTAGCTATTAGGGAATGATGTGCAGTGTTTAACTTGTTCAAACAGATTCAGCAATTCATAGAATGGCTTGGGTATCACCTTCATGGAATAAAGCCCTGACTACCTCAAGGCCAATGGTTCCCAACCTTTTTTTGACCAGGGACCACTCTCCAACATTAGTACCAAAAGGGTTACAAATCACTTTTTGGTCAGCTTTAGATTCAGTTTGATTATTTGGGGTTCTGATTCAGAAAATTGCATTGGATAGACCACATCAGCTCTGTTTTCTGATGCAGAACATATGCCATCCAGTAGTTGCCATCTGCTCGCCCACAGAAAACCAAATTTAATAATCTAGAGCTGGTGTGCTCTAGCCAATGCAATTTTCTGAATCAGCACCCCAAATCTTTTGGTTGGGCTGTATTAAAATCCATAGTAGTAGTGTTGTGGCCACGGACCATATTTCAGTTCTTGTGGACCACTGGTGGTCGACGAACCACAGGTTGGGAACCACTGCTCTAGGCCTTACCTTCTGGTTGCTAAAATCTGAAATTTTATTGCAATCTGGCACTGACTTGGCCAGTTCAATCTGCCTTGGGGTGAGTGCAGAATTCCTTGGAAATAGTTAAACAGGGCAAGATAAGACTTAAAAACCCATTAGCCATAAAAGTTTACTAATAAATGATTGGTTCATATTTATTTATTAAGAATATTTGTCCATCACCTTTCTCCACGTGTGGACTCAAGGTGGCATACAACATAAAAACATACATATTCCAACTGTTAAAATATGTAAACAATAATAAAAGATTGTAAAAACATAAATCAGTTAAAACAATAACATTGTAATCTGTCACTATTTTTCCTTCTTTCCTTTCCTATCTTTTTCTTTTCTTTGTGACTCTTTCTTTCCTTCTTCCATTTCCCTCCTAAACCTTTGCCCCCTCCTTCCTTTCTCTTCCTTCCTCTTCCCTTCTCTTTCTTTTTCTGTCTTCCTCCCTTCCTCCCTTCTTACACCTTCCCCTTCCTTTTTCTTTTCCCCCCTCCTTGCATACATTTCCCCCTTTCCTTCCTTTCTTTCCCCCTTCATAAAGTCACCCACAGAAAGGGGCATTTTAGCAATTGAGCAAGGCTTTGACTGAAAAAGGTTAAATAAGCGTGGTAGTACCTTTTTTGGCTCTTCTGCTTTGTTTATTTCCCTTTCCAACTTTGATTACTCTTCCTTCATTCTGTCTCTTGTGTACCTTGTGATTGTTGCATTTGGGGGGAATTCCTGGGACTGCAAAGCTAGTCCAAGACACTGGTGTTGCAAGAGACCCACATGACTTTGAGAGAAAGTGACTTCTCTGTGAACTGCTAAATGAAAGCATCCCTGGAAAAAGGTGTATCAACTTGTAAGGGCGTGCACACAATGAAAGAGAAAGACTTCCTGCTTGGCATTGAAAGGGCAGCAGAGTAACTGGGTAAATTGCCTGGAAAAACAAAGAGTAGGAACCAAGATCTGGAAGGTGCAGTTGCATTTTAGAGCAACATAAGGTTTCACAGCTGTTGCCAGAATATGAAATACGAGGGTGTGCTGAGTGATGAAGGGCAGTCACAGATCTGTTGTTTGTCACCTGTTTGTTTGTATTGACCCAAGAGGGAGTAACCACAGACATTTGGCTGTGACAGGCAGAATTATGTATGGATAAATTTCCCATGGCTTAGAAAAGTTGTGCTTTGTACCAGTATTCCCAGGTTCCTTCAGCCAGCATGGATACTGGATGGGGAATTCTGAGTATTGTTCAGCACTACTGCAATAACCTTGAGTACATCATGGATTCCATGATCTTGTAGTCCCAGAAAACTACCTGGAGAAAGGACTCCAGAAGAAGTTTGCCACCACTTTCCTTGCTTCAGACAGAAGGGGCCTTGAAACAGGACCAGTGGCTGGCCTCTTCTGGTCCATGAAGAAGGGGGTGGTCAAAACTGTGGTTAGCAGATTACGGCTTACCGAGGGAGCTCCTAGAGATGAGTGATGTGCCAGAAACCCATAATAAGGGGTTCTGAGAACTAGTGGCAAATCCTAAACTGTTAGGCCAACTTTCCCATTGCTAGCAATGACCAGAGTTTACTGTTTCGTGGGAAGAAAAAGGGTGGTATCTTTTAACTGCCTTGAGGAGGGTTTGTGGCTGCTTCTCAGAATAGCCTAAATACTCTAGGGGACCCTACTGGTCTTGGAAGCTAAATAAGGTCGGCCCTGATTGGTGCTTGGACAGGAGACCACCAATTAATATCTGGTGCTGCAGACTATATTTCAGAGAAGGGTACTGTCAAAATCCCTTGCCTAAGAAAATCTTATTAAATGTATGGGGTTACCACAAGTGACTTGATGGCACATGCACATACAGGGTTTCACAATTAACTGTTCTTTGAAACCATGCCACATCCCATGGGTTGAGTCCCATGGCTTTTAAGTTTTAAAAGTGAATGCTTTAAGGCAGTGTTTCTCAACCTGGGGATCAGGACCCCTGTAGGGGGTTCATGGGGGGGGGGGGGGGCAAAGGTGTCACCAAAGACCACGAGAAAATACAGTATTTTCTGTTGGTCATGGGGGTTCTATGTGGGAAGTTTGGCCCAATTCTGTCGTTGGTGGGGTTCAGAATGCTCTGTGATTGTAGGTGAACTATAAATCCTAGCAACTACAACTCCCAAATGTCAAGGTCTATTTTCCCCAAACTCCACCAGTGTTCACATTTGGGCATGTTGGTTATTCATGCTAACTTTGGTCAAGATCTATCATTCTTTGAGTCCACAGTGCTCTCTGGATGTAGGTGAACTACAACTCCAAAACTCAAGGCCAATTCCCACCAAACCCTTTCAGTACTTTCTGTTGGTCGTGGGAGTTATGTATGCCAAGTTTGGTCCAATTCCATTTTTGGCGGAGTTCAGAATGATCTTTGATTGTAGGTGAACTATAAATCCTAGCAGCTACAACTCCCAAATGACAAAATCCCCCCAACCCCACCAGCATTCAGATTTGGGCATATCGGGTATTTGTGCCAAATTTGGTCCAGTGAATGAAAATGCATTCTGCAAATCAGATATTTACATTATGATTCATAACAGTAGCAAAATTACAGTTATGAAGTAGCAAGAAAAACAATTTTATGATTGGGGGTCACCACAACATGAGGAACTATATTAAGGAGTCGTGGCATTAGGAAGGTTGAGAACCACTGCTTTAAGGGAAGAATAAAAGATAAATGTATATTGTTTATCTCTGTAATCCAGATATTGATTCTCATTAAGCCAGAAAAGCAGAGGGGGAATTCCAAATGGGATATATTGTATGGTGTTTCTGTCTATTGGTGAATGCTGGGATGTATGCTTGGGAAAATGAAACCAGTTGAAGAGTCATGTTTCAAAAAGTGATAGAAACAGGTCCACGAATCTGGAAGAAAGTGCAGAATGAGGAATGGAAGATTGATCAGTTATGATAGAATTTGAGTCACAATAATCCTTAATGCAGAAGCAAGCTGTTTTAGTTTTTTTTCTTTTGCAGGCAGGAAAAATCCCGTGCTGTCACAGGCTAGCAAAGGCCTCTTCCTCTGAATGTGCAATGCAGCTGAGCGTTAAGAATTGGGAAATTCCCAGCTTGGCTACTTAACTGACCTCTCCTTTTCCTAATAAGAACATAAGGGGGGAGGGAGGCGGGGAGGAATGGGCAAGGAATGTTTATAAGCAAGGTTTAACTCTCCATAGCCTGCTCAAAAGGATCATTGCACTTTAAATGTTTCATATAACAAGCACTGGGTCTGGAAATCTGACACCTCTGGCAGGGAACGGGTGCCACTTTATGTCTGCCTTTGGCTGCCTGTGGAGTAAATGGGGGGAACGCCATAAATAGATACCAGGCACAAAGATCTCTGCAGGTCATGGATGGCCAGGGGAAGCTGCCTATCGTTATTGTTGGACACATGCCCAAAGTGTGGTATTTGATGTTTCTGGTTCCTGGCGCAAATTGATTGTGAGGAAAGACACAGGGGAAAAATAATTGAGGCATGATTTAAAAGCCTTGGCCTTTTCTAAACTTAAGCTGTAGTCATGTCTCTTAAAATTTTGTTTCGAAGGAGCCCATCCACCTTTTAGCCTAAGACAACAGAAATTAAAACAACCTTTCCTTTAGTAAGATGCCGTTGTTTAGTACTGAACGAGGGGACAAAATGGTTCGCCAGGACTTGTGGCTTGGAAAGCAGCTATGTGGCAAACCGCTGCAAGCAAGAAAACAATGGGCAGTCTTGTAAAAGAGCTGAGTAAATTCTCCAACCTCATATTTTTTCTGGAAAGGGCAAAATAAGCACAGTAGTAAGCTAACTAGGTATAAATAGACTGAGGAGTATTTTTTAATGTTGATTGTAAAATTAGCTGAATTAGAGTTGGAGCAGGGATGCATGACTTCCTCCATATTTAATCATATTTTTTTCTTTTTTCATCCAGAGTATAGGAAAACATGATTTCCCAAATCCACATGGCCTTGATCCTCCTTATAGCCTACAACATCCATGAAACTGAACAGAACAAAGAGGGTTGTCAACGGCTCATCACTGGATCACACCTACAAAACATCTCAGATATGGTGAGTCAATTTACAAATAGTAAGAACTTGTAAAGATTATTTTTTGGACTGAAGCTGCCAGATTCCTCTCAGACAGCAGCTTGCAAGTGCTTACAGGCCAGAGATTATGTTCTGATAGTCCCAAATAGAGTAGAATTTTTGAATCAATGGAACATAGCTGATTATGCATTTAATGGAACCCCCGGTGATGCAATGGGTTAAACCCTTGGGCCCAGGCCCATAGCCAGGATTTTGATTGGGGGGGGGGCTGAGTTTGATTCGGGGGGAGCTGAGTCTGAGTGAAAGAGGGTCTACCCTAGCAAACCTTTTGTATTGTTGCCCCAATACCCCCATGCATATGGGATATATTGAGCATGGTGATCAGATCATGATATGAATAAACATAACAGTTTAAATAATGCACCAGTAAGGCCTTTTCGCGAACCACCATGAGAATTTCGGGGGGGGGCTGAAGCCCCTCAAGCCCCCTCCCCCCCGGCTACATGCCTGCCTCCACCTGTACCCAGGACTGATGACTGGCAGGTCGGAGGTTTGAATCTGGGGAGAGCGTGGGTGAGCTCTCTCTGTCAGCTCCAGCTCCCCATGCAAGGACATGAGAGAAGCCTCCCACAAGGATGGTAAAATACCAAAACATTCAAATGTCCCCTAGGCAACGTCCTTGCAGACAGCCAATTCTCTCACACTAGAAGCAACTTGCAGTTCCTCAAGTCGCTCCTGACACGAAAAAAATGCATTTAAAAAGTCCATACATTCAATGTATTTACCTGGGTCACAGAATTGGATTTAGCCCCAGAGATTTAAAGCCACTTTAAATCTCTGCCTCTTTTTTCACTTATTGGTTTTGTGCTATTTATTTCTTTACTCTATGTCTATCTTGCTCTTCTCACCCTTGCAGGGGACTCAGAGCAGCATACATAATGTCAATATTCACTGCTGCATATTCAATAACATAAAATATAATACATTGATACAACAAACAGTTAAAACATATAAATATCATAAAACTATTAAACTTGATCCCAGTCCTAAGGGCACAAGCAAGCTAAAAGGGGAAGAGGAAGGGATCCTGAAGAAACGTGGAAGAATAGATTTGAAATCAACACAGCCAACATTGTGAAGGCTCCTTAACACCTATTGGACATACAGGATGTTTTGAAATGATAGACCCAGTTTCAAAGCAGTATGTTGCCCACATATGGCAATATGTTAACATTACACATAAAGTTTCTAAAGTTTCATGAGTTATCAGGTTTTACTAACCATTTTGATCACACCTACAAATAATCCTATAGTCTTCAGTAGAAGTAGTTCTGATTTGGCGTCTTAACAAGTATAAAAAATAACTCTCTTAATGGAGAATATTTCATTAGACCTCATATTGTGAATGATTAAGGCTAGAGACTGTTTCATGCTGGGAGAAACATCCACTGGCAATTCTTTGAGACTCTATGCCCCACTTTTTCAAGTGATAGATTTCATTCATGGTTGCAGAGATAGAACGATTTCAAATCAGGTCCATCTTTTTGAAACACCCTATAGTGGGTTAGACCACCGAGCTGCTAAACTTGCTAACCAAAAGGTCTCAGGTTTGAATCCGGGGAGCGGTGTGAGCTCCCGCTGTTAGCCCCATCTTCTGCCAACCTAGCAGTTGAACCAACATGCAAATGTGAGTTGGTCAATAGGTACTGCTCCGGCAGGAAGGTAATGGCACTCCATGCAATCATGCTGGCCACTTGACCTTGGAGGTGTCTACAGAAAACGCTGGCTCTTCGGCTTAGAAATGGGGATGAGCACCAATCCCCAGAGTTGGACATGACTGGACTTAATGTCAGGGGAAAACCTTTACCTTTATCTTATACTAAATAAATTGTGGTTCAGGTCAGAAGTTCCAGCTTTGTTGTCTTACAACCCTGAGTAGACCCAAACATAATACTGTGTTTTAGGTGGAAAGTGCTGGGAACTGAAAATTCACCACTGCATCTGCCCCAGGATAGTTTCTGCTAATCATTATGATCACCTCTCTACAGCAGGCAGTTTATGGAATGGTACCAGCCTTATGGGGACTTTGTGGTGAATACACCTCACAGGTATCCCAGACCCCTAGGATAAAGAGAAGGAGGAACTGCTGCTCACAACCCCATGTTCTGCTATAGATAAGGGAGGATGCTGTGGTGGCTGCATGCCTCCTACATCTGCAGGAATCATCTCTGCATTAAATATTGGGCTCTGTTGTGTTCTTGGAGCCAAGACACAGGGAAGAGGCAATGTGCCATTATCCTGACCATCCCCACCATAGTCCATTGGGTCTAAGAAACTCTGGGAGCCAGGAATTCAATGAGTACATTGATTGACTTGGCCTCTGCTGAGATGTGCAGTCACTACAGCCTACTTCCCCCCACTCCCCCCCCCCACTCCCCCCGCCCACATAGCAGGGTCCACCAGCCACCAGTATTGGTGGCTTCTTATGCTGTTGCCCCTATTATCCTGTGGTATTGGTAGAGTTGTCTTCATGTTGTTGCCATTGTTTTATCCTGTTGGGGAGAGAGGTGCCTTCTTCTATATCTCATGGAGCAGAGTAGAGCAATGGGTTGCACCTCTGCTGTGAAATAGAAGTAGAGAAGGAGGAGGATGCTCCTTTCCTGTCATGCTGCCACTTCCCTCTCTATGATGGCTGGGCCCATAAAGAAGAAAATCTGTTCTAAAATAATTGGTATGGGTGACAGATGTTAAGATAGGTAGTGTGCAATATACATACACAAACATGGAATGCTAGTTAAAATAATGGGGAAAGTAGATCAATATGCACTGAATCTACAATAGTTTGAGCATTAAAGTTTGACCCAGCTCTTTATCTCGCTTTGGCCATTCAGGTCCTCTTTTTGCAAGAGACGTTTTCATGAAGAACTGACAGAGTCTTGACTCTGATCACACCTACAAATAATCCTATAGTCTTCAGTAGAAGTAGTTCTGATTTGGCGTCTTAAGTGGGAAAGAGATGGACACAACAATGGGCAATAGTTATTTAGTTAATCAGAGCAAAAGCACCAAGATGAATTTGAAGTTTTATAATGACTGGGGGTTAGCAATCAGAGAATCAGAGAATTGGGAAGATCTTGAGAGAGAACTGATGACCTTCCCAAATATAAAGAAAGTGTATGGAGAGACTGATGGCTATAGCATGTGACTTGTTGATAGTTTGGCTAGAAGAAGGGCAGGAAGATTTCCGATCTGTCTACTCCCATACCCCTTTACAGAGAAACATCCACATAAATTTAATTTTATGGCACTTATTCATTGGCATAATGGTTGTGAGAGATTTAAATATGCTTAGAATCCAATTCTATAGCCTTTGTCTCCCTAGTAGAGTGGTCCCCAACTTTTTTTTTAACCAAGGACCACTCTCCAACATTAGTCCCAAAAGGGTTACAAATCAGTTTTTGGTCAACTTTAGATTCAGTTTGTTTATTTGGGGTGCTGATTCAAAAAATGGCTTTGGATCGACCACATTAGCTCTAGTTTCTGATACAGAACATATGCCATCCATTAGTTGCCATCTGCTCACCTACAGAAAACAAACTCTATGAGTCTAGACTTAATAATCTAGCGCTGATGTGGTAATAGTAATCTTTCGTGGGTAGTCAACCTCTCCCCTCCCAACATCTCGTGAAACCATAAGAGAGTTTCACAAGAGCAGTCGCTCTCGTTGCTGGATGGTTTTGAGGCATCGTTGTAGTAATGGTGAGGCCATATTTTTTTTCTTGTAGACCACTGGTGGCCCATGGACCACAGGTTGGTATCCACTGACCTGGTGTCTAGACCTTTTAGTTTGTATGATTATGCCTTGATTTGCTGTCTACCTTTACTTCATACTTTCCTCCTTAACCAAGGAGCCACTGGGCCACTGACAAATTTGCACCAACCCCATGATGTAAATCAGGTGAAAATTTGCAAAGAGTCCTTGAATCCCTTAGCAGCAGACATCTTAGATTTCTGTGTACTCCTGTCTATTTCATAAGATACTGAGATAGAAATATAACTATCTTCCTGCCTTCACATTTGGGAGGTGCCTTGTTAAATCTTTTCGGATTTATACTAATATAGTATTGTCCTATTCAACTCTTTCTCCAGCAAAGCAAATTCCCAAATGGGGGGATGATTTGATTCTGATTTGAGCAAACAAACCGGTAAATAATGCTAAGGCACCAGGCATAGCACAACCCAGTATATTTCCAGGGCTCATAAAAGTATTTTCCAGTGTGCTTGGAATTTGTAAAAGATTACATATATCTTTACTGTGACTCAGAAGAAACTGAATGATTACCTTTTACTTCATAAAAATGGGATGATCTGAGCTTCCAGCCTGTTGTACAAGACAGACTGTCCCATCCCCCGCATTCTCACCTCATAGTTACTTTGACATCCAAAATATGAGACAGCAGATTGAATCAGGATTTTAATTTCCTTCCATCATTTGTTATTTTTTAAACATATATATGTATTGTGCCATATTATGGGACTTCAAAGCATTGCAGAAGTAAAATCAAGTTTAAAAGTTTCATCTTTTAAAACATTAAAACAAGAGGAATGACTTGGATAGAAGCATATTAAACGGTTTGCAGGTTATTCTTGTGTGCCCTCAAGTCTTTTTTAATATATGGCAGCCCTAAGGCAAAACTATCATGAGTTTTCGGTGGCAAGATTTGTTCATAGGGGTTTTTTCCTTTGCTTTCTTTGAATCTGAGAAATTGTGACTTGCCTTGCTTCCTGCTTCTTGGCAAGAGGTTGGACTGGATGGCCCACAAGGTCTCTTCCAACTCTATGATTCTATGCTCAGCGGGTTTCCATGGGCAAGTGGGCATTCAGACCCTGGTCTCTATAGTCATAGTCCAGTACTCAAACCAATACACACATTGGCTCCTATTTAATAGGGTTAAAGAGTTTCAGAGTTCAGAACTATGTACTTATCACAAATGAGATTGGCGGGGACGAGGAGCAGAGCCTTCTCGGTGGTGGCCCCTCACCTATGGAATTCACTCCCTGGGGAAATTAGATCATCGCCATCCCTCCTTTCCTTTAGAAGGAAATTGAAGACATGGATTTGGGACCAGGCATTCGGGCATTTTGGCAGATAGATAAATAAAGGACAACGACGACCAATAGGAATGGAAAATGTGGAATGAAGTTATGGACTTTGAGTTGCGAACGTTGAGCATAAGATTGGTTTTTATTGATTGATGTATATTGATTGTTTTAACTGTCGAAACTGTTTTAATTGCTGTCTATATTTTATCTGTATTACTGTGCAGGCATCGAATTGTGCCTTTTTGTAAGCCACCCTGAGTCTCCCCTCGGGGGTTGAGAAGGGCGGGATAGAAGTATACGAAATAAATAAATAAAAACCATGCATGGATTCATTTTTGGAATTAATCAGTTATATCCCAAAGGCATTAATTAAACATTTTTACTTGATGCTGGATGAAGCCAGTATTGTCACCAAGGAATTGTATTCTCCAAGTGGGGTACCACAGCTGGGAAACTATATCCCACAGGTATGAAAGTAATCAAAAATCAAACTTTCAAAAGCTATCCCTTGTTAAATTATAGTTGTAATGTCTTCATTCTCACAAAGGGAATGATAACTAACTACTTATCTGTAGTTTCCTCTAATTTCTGAAGACAATTATATATTGTTCTTTTGGGTAAATAAGTTTTATTCTTCTTGCCATTTTAAAGCAGCTTGAGCAGTTACATGTGACACGCTGTGTGAAGTCTTAATGCTGAGCCATAGTGAAGAGTGGAAGTCCTGAGTGAGCCTTGATGTGATATTTGGAGTTGCAGAGGAGCATGGTGCCATTCTTACCTCTGAAATGTTGAAAAATTATTTTAGTAAAGCTTGAAGAATATCTAAATTACAATACAAACCATGACCTTTGTACTATCCCTTGTTTGGAGAGTAACAGCTTGCTAACAAATAAACTTTTAACAGTCTTGCCTTAGCCAAATGGGCTGAGTCACTTTCAGCTAACAATAACATTTCTCAAATATCGCATGGCCACTCTTCGATGGAAGTCCTCATATTAGACTACAATTTTGTAAATGTTAACTTTGCAGACACAACTTATTTTAATAGCAGTATTGCCTCTTAGAAGCTAAGTATTTATGACTTTAGGTTTTAACATAACTTGAATAATAGTGTATCTCCTATAAAGTGCAATGCCTTGGCTGCACCCTGCCGCTAATACACAGCCTCAAGCAACTTGGACTGCAGGCTTAAGAAAGAGAAAGCTTCCTCGCCACTGAGACACAGAAGAGGGAATGCCCTGGTCTGTCAAAAGTGTTCTTGAAATATCTTAAATTCCTGAACCATGGAATATCTTTACAACATGAGAAAATTTCTTTAAAACATGTGGCATTTTAACAGTAATCCTTGCACTGCTTTTTGTAAGGGTTATTCTATTAACTTATCTTCTTAGCAAAGATAACCGAAGTCTGAAAATGGCTTCTGCAAGTACCAAGTGAATAGCTAGTTGACACTTGAAGTGCTGAGTCTTGTTGAATCTTTACTTAGATTTTTTTCTCCTAAAACTAGTTTTGCAGAGCTGTTCTCCTGCTCACTATGTTTTGCTAAGCTTAATGGAAATTATTCCTAATTACAGAACCAGCATGAAGAAATAAATACTTTGTGGTACTTCTGATGACACAGAAGTAGTGGAACTCGGGAGTTTAGAAACAGAAGCGTTGGACTACTATCTTAACTCCCAAAGTAATTGGATTGCCCAAAACTTCACCTTGGCAATGAGAACACAGGATTTCAGATGCTACAGAATGGCTCCTATGCCAGCACAATAATCGCCACAAAAGAAATCTAAGCATTGATAAAGTGGCACAAGTCCACATTTGCAGCCTGGAATCTTCTACACAAGAAGTTACTTTAAACTTTGGTTACTTTAAACTTCTTGTAGAAGATTCCAGGCTGCAAATGTGGGCTTGTGCCACTTTACCAATGCTTAGATTTCTTTTGTGGTGATTGTTGTGCTGGCATAGGAGCCATTCTGTAGCATCTGAAATCCTGTGTTCTCTTTGCCAAGTAGAAACCAAATCATGTTAAAACTGGTGGAACCAAAACTGAAAGTGTGCTTCTTCTTCCCTCTTCATTTCTCAGGATAGTAGGTAATGGTATATTTTAAATTCTGCAAGGACCCTTCTCTATTCCTAGTAGTAAAAAGGTAACAAGGTAACCTTGTGTTGGCAAGGTAACAATTTGAAACCCTGTGTATGATGCCCTAAATCTGGTGCTTGCAGCGGCTGCCTAACTTCGTCTATCAGCAGGACTAGAACTGCTGCGTAGCTCTACGTAGATTACTCTGACTGAGGAATGCTGCAAGAGGCTGCTCGGCATTAATAATGAAGCAATTGTTTTCAATTGGGCATGGCTGCTGCTCTGCTAGCACTATAATCAGATTTTCCTAGTGAAACTGTTTACAAATGCTGAATCAGCATTCTTGATCCATGGATTCTCTTCCTGTTCCTCGACAAAAGAAGATGACTATTCTGTTTGTTCCAGTGAGAATGAACAAGGCTCAAAGGCCACAAAGTGGTCATGCCCTTTTCCCAAGATGGCTTAATGCAATGAGTTTGCTTTCCCTGGTGTGCTGCCACTAAACAGAACTGAATACAATGAGCCTTTGGTACCTGCTTGGGTTTGGTTCCTGGATCGCCAGTGGATACCAAACTTCATGGATACACATGTTCCATTGTATATAGTGATGTAGTAAAATGGTATCTCTTACATAAAATGGCAAAATCAATTGAATTTTTGTTTTTCTTTTAAAAACATTTTAAAGTTGTAGATGATGGGAAACAGAATCCTTGGATATGTAGGGTCAGCTGTATTCTTATATATATATATATATATATATATATATATATATATAAGCTGTCTTTAAAGAGCTCCTTTATCCCACTAAAATATTTCTCTTCTTTTGTCTTACAAACACAGTTTGGTAAATAACAAATTAGAGGTACCTCATGAAAAAATCCTTGTCCCCTAGGAATTTGTAATACCAGTGCTCAAATAAAGTTGTGTAGAAAATTTCTTGTCTCTGCAGTATAGTAAATTAGCAGAGATGCCTGTTCTCTAGAAATGATTCATGGTTATTCAACAGTCCTGGATTGCCAGTCCTGGGAATTGTCTAATTTCCCCGCCCCTGCAACCTTACTTATTTCCAGATGTGGAAGGGTCTTAACACTACTGATCAAGATGTGTTTCCTTTCCTTTCCTTTTCGGGTGACAGTGAAAAGTGGGAAGAAATTGTGAAAAACCACAGAAGCGGTTCATGTAAAGGACAACAGTATATCTGGAAATCCTGTCAAATTCCATAAATGTGGCAGGAGAGTATGTTTTTATTGTTCAATATAGAAATCTCAATTATAGTTTTAAAACAAATTCTGTGGAGAAACACATTTTGCCACCCTCCCACTACTCTTGTTGGGCGCATGCTCCAAAGCAGATAATTGGAAGTCTATAACCCACAATAGTAGGCAGCAGGATAACAATCTATATTTTCTGAACTCTGCAGTGAGAAATTCCCCATAGTATCTATTCTATTAATGTAGACTTTCAAATAAGAGAAACTAAAATCCTTTAGAGATATTGTGTCTTGACATGTTTTTCTCTGTTACAGATTGACAGTCAGATGGAGACCTCCTGCAACCGAACTGTCATCTATGTAGACAGGAGTGAACTGGTGAGTTGGGTATAAGACAAACATGTATATTGCTGTTATCTAGAAAGGGCCATACTGTTTAGACCAGTGGTTCCCAACCTGTGGTCTGTGGATAACCAGTGGTCCACAAGAACTAAAAGATGGTCACCACTACTACACCACTGCAACAAGAGTGACTGGTCTCGCGAAACCCTCTTATAGTGCCAAGGTTTACTAAATATGGTTTTCTGTGGGTGAGCAGATGGCGACTACCTGATGGCATATGTTCTGTATCAGACAGTAGAGCTGATGTGGTCTATCCAATGAAAATTTTCTGAATCAGCACCCTAAATAATCAAACTGAATCTAAAGTTGACAAAAAAACTGATTCGTAACCCTTTTGGTACTAACGTTGGGGAGTGGTCCCTGGTCAAGTAGTCCCTGGTCAAAAAAGGTTTAGACCAGGGGTCCTCAAACTAAGGCCCAGGAGCCAGATATGGCCCTCCAAGGTCATTTACCCGGCCCTCGCTCAGGGTCAACCTAAGTCTGAAACTACTTCAAAGCACACAACAACAACAATCCTCCCTCATCATCCAAAAGCAGGCCCACACTTCCCATTGAAATACTAATACTGGTAAGTTTATATTTGTTAAAATTGTTCTTCATTTTAATTATGATATTGTTTTAAAGTGTTTTTTGCACTACAAATAAGATGTGTGCAGAGTGCATAGGAATTCATTCATGCTTTTTCAAATTATAATCCGGCCCTCCAACAGTTTGAGGGATAGTGACCAGGTCCTCTGTTTAAAAAGTTTGAGGACCCCTGGTTTAGACCATATGTGGGGATTGTATGGTTCTCCAGATGTTGTTTGATTGCAGTCTTAGCCAACATAGATAATGGTGTGAAGTGTTGTGAGTTGCAATCTAATGCCATCTGGAGAGTGCAAGACTGTGAATGGGAAATGTGTGGCATTCTGGATGTTGAACCATAACTTCCTTCATGTTCTATCAGTGGTTGTCTTGGCTAGCAGCTGATGCAGTCCAGATCTGAAGAACCACAAATAGCTTACCCCTGACCTAGTATTGGTTTTAAACAATATACTTTTAGAAGAGCCTTTTCATTACAGGCAGCCTCCTAAAAATCACATTTAATTATGGTTTTACATTCAATCTGCCTTCTCTTTCTCTAACTGGACTTTGAGGCAACTTGAATCCTTTTGTTGTTGTTGTTGTTGTTTAACAAAGTCTATGTTTTTACCCAGGCTTGTGAACTGTATTTAGTTTTCAACCTGTTTGTTCAAACAAATCAGGCTTCAATCCTGGCTTATGTTCCATGATTGCTCGCTAACTATGTTAAACTAACTAGCATTGAAGGGAAACATTGATTTGTAATGGAAATAAATACTTTACGTCTTCTTTTCATGGCTATACAAGTCAGGACTCATGACTTGTGCATATAACACTCAATCTTTGTTTGATGTGGCATTTAAGCCATACCATTGACTTATCAAACGAATAACTGCATTTCTGCTACAAGCATATTACAGAGTTTTTGGAGGATAATTATTTCAAGAGGGAGACCAGTCTAATCCCATCCATCTTTGAGAAAAGAAACAATTGCAAGAAACTTGTGTTGCCCCTCTGTGCCTGACAGAACAGTCTGCTTCATTTGACTCTCATTTTAGAACTGAAATATGTTTTCTGTTGTCTTCACATTTTGAAAGCTATTGCACAAAGTGAAGAATGGGGATATCTCTGTGCCACTGCTGCCCATTTTCTGGTCTTGTTTCTTTGGACCCAATTGACGCAATCACCTGGAAAAATAAAATGAAGCAAGCAGACTCACCTCTTCTTTTGCTCAGTGTTTCCACTGCTCACAACTTTTTGACTAGTCACCTGCTCTGCCTTGGCAGTGCAGGGCAGGTGACCAGGCAGCAACATCAAAGAGATGTCGTGGTGTCAGTGAAAAGGGATGCCTGATAACAGAGCTGAAAAAGTTACTGGAGGCTACAGCTCCCAGAATCTCTCAGCCAATATGATTGCAGCACTTCCAAGCTCTTCCTTATAATTCCAAACTTTGATGTCAGTCTTGAATATTTCTGTGACTATGCCTTTTTTGTTATCTTTTAGGACACTACAGAATGCTTTCTCAAAGCAGCATATTCTCCATTGTTAAACATCCTTGATAAAATTAAGTTCAAGGACAATTCTGCAAACTTCAATAAGCTACAAAAAATTAAAGATCTGCACCTGGATCTTGGAAGTTGCTTAGATGACTCTCCTGATCACCAGGTAACTTCTCAAACTGGCCAGACCCACTTTTGTTTGTTTGTTTGTTTATTTTTATTTTATTTAAAGTGTTTCTGTATTATCTCCCAGAGCTCCCAAGGCAATGAACAAAATAAAAATTAAGAAAAATAATACAAAGATAAAAAATATTCTTAGAAAACCTGAAATTGCTCTTTTTTAAAAAAATGTCTTCTAAAAACAATCCTAGAATCGATTTTTGAAACAGTAGTTTCAAACCCTGAATGCCATGTAAAATAGCACTCTCTTGACTGTCCACAAGAAGTTTAAAAGAGATGAGACCAGCCTAATTGACTTTGGGAAGGGAATTCTGCAGTCAAGATGCTGCTGCAGGTGCTAAATGCACCTATCAGTCTTCCACTTTATCAAGACAATTCAGTACTACCACAGCCTCTTGCCATCAGTTGTAAAGGGGAGAGAGAGTTGGGTATCATTAGTAACTGATGACTTCCAAAACTGCAGAAGACTCCTCCCAGCAGCAGCACGTAGATGTTAAAACGCATAGGGGGACAGTATTGACCATTTGCCTATGTAAACCCTCACAGTCAAATGGCCAAAAGGTTGAAAAACAGTAAAGTTTTTTCCCAACAAAGATATTACATTTGATCTTTTTAAAGAGGGTGCATAACATAACTCTCTTTCAATTGGTCGGTCCTCCTCAATGGGTCTGACATGAAGGTGGTTGATCTCACCTTTCCATGTAACTTGTTAACATGATCATATTGAATAACCCAAAACTCATCAATCAAAATTGAACAAATACATGCCTTTATAGACTTCCCAGTCTCTATCTTCACTATAGTGTCTAAGACGGAATAAATCTGAGTGGTTTTCTCCACAAAGGAGTTCACAAGTTCGTCACAACATTTTTCTGAGAGCTCCTCATCAGCAGTCTCAGGTCTAGATAGTAGTATCCTTTCAACTGTCCAGAACAGTTGTGCCGAATGGGATTGAGCTCATGTAAAAGAAACGGAAAAGAAAAGTATGTTCTAAAATAGGTCCTATTGGATTCAATCTGAGCCGTTCTCCACCATTGCACTAGCTATCTACTTAACTGTGTGGTTGCCCTGAGTGTTTCAAAAAACCAAGATATCCTTCTCTGTTCCCAAGAAAAGGATATTTGAGAGCCACTATCATGTGCCCAAGTCATCTCCGCATTTCACAATTCGGCCTGGACATCAACAGAAATGCCAACTCTAGCAACTAGAAAATCCCCCAGAGCATTCAGACATCTTTTTTGATAGATTCATCTCTGGGACTAGACCATTTTAATGGAGTTCACCACCTCAGCAAATTTAAAAGCTGTTAGCTAATGAAGTCCTTTACAACAAGGTTCTTTGGGGGAAAAACCCCATTCCCAGATCACCATGATTTTGACTATCATAAACCAGATTAAAAGTGTAGCCTATTATGTGTTTATAGCCAGATATTAATTGAGACAGGCTCATAGTTGCCATGAAATCCTGAGCTGTCCTGATGAGGGTGTCTCAGCATGGATATTAACATTTTTAACACAAAAAACTTGAGTGAGATTAACAAAACTTCCAAGATCACTTCTAGTAGCTCTGGCAGGGAGATAGTTGGGCAGCAAGGTGGACAGTACACCAAGAAGTTCCTCATTCTGTTTCGTTCTATAGTCAAATGTATTACACTATAACTTTAGAGATTGCTATGCAGGATACCTCATTAAAGAAAAGGAGTTATAATACATTGCTGATACTCCCTGTCCATCTGATGTTGCCTACTGGTGTACCTGGAAATGTAAGGGAGGATAATTGGGTTAAATTGATACTGCCCCCTTCACTTAACAAAGTTTCAATTATACATGCAATGTCAGCTTGCTTGTCCTGGATCATACAATTCTTCTCTGATCTGCTGTTAAGCAGTGGTACTTCATGGTCTGATAGGGTTTTACTAAAGTATTTCAAGTGCTAATACTGGAATAAGATACTCTGAAAAAAGAATACTTTGTATATACATTTTCATTTAGCAAAAGATAAGATGGTGTTTGTACTGTTGCACTGATTTGAATGGATTGTACTAATTTAATTGCCTGACTAAATGTCATATACTCATTTAAAGCATGTCGATTATTAATAATTGAGGTTTATTTATAGCAAATTAGATTTAGCAAAGATTTTTTGGATATTGTACTTTTCCTTGTTCACAACATGCTTCTACCAGAGTAGCGAGGACCTGTTGGTTGGATGGTGGACCAGAAGCATGAACAGCCTTGAGATGTCATCCCATATAATGTCCTCAAAATTATGTGGCCATCATTGCATTTTATGATCGTGAATTCCATGGTTTAATCCTCCCTGTATCCCTCTCAAATTACATATTATTGAGACCTTTGTAGCTGTCTTGCTTTCTTGGATGTGCCATCTGGGATTCCAAATTCAGCACCTGAGAATAGCTCTGCTTCTGAAGGTGGATTATTTGTGCTGAGTTACAGTGACAGATACACCAACCTCAAATACTTCAGAACAATAAACCTTTAGTTTTGCAGCTATAAATGAAGAGTTTTTGATTTATTTTCCTTTTTCCTCCCTTGCTCTGTCTGTTTCTTGTAGACATGCACCAAGGAGTTCTCCCTGACACCGGAGAAGATGTTGCAAAAGGTGCTCGACTATTTCAGTGAAGCTAAGCATTTTTTGTCCAAACCAGTCTTCCCTCATGACTGTTCTAGTGCCTTCAAGAAGTGTTCAGACTCTCAGGAAAAGAAGAGAATGAAATCTACAGGTAAATGATCATATATATTTAGCATATATTCTCCTTCTTGCCTATTGGGATAGAGTTTGGAGAGTTTGCTCCTAAGTTATAGGGAATTTTCTAGGCATCCTGTAGCTTCTGTATGTGTGCCTTTATGTCTATGTGTACGCTTGTATGTCTTGTTTTTTATTAACGATTGCTAAAGGCTTAAAGTCAACAGCAAGACATCAAGCCAACAGTTGTTTCTTCTTCTGGATATGTACTATGTCTCTTTGGCTTGAATAAATGCAAACCTGGCTGTGCCTGAGTCCAACAGTTACACAAAGCACACACTGCAAGACAAGGTGTGGCTTTTCATCATACACAATTTTGGAGGTTTCTTCCTCAATTCTGTGGTGGTCAGCTTTACTCTTCTCCCACCCTAATAACATGTTTTATCCTTCTGGTTAAAAGATAAGCTTAAAAGCATGTGGGTAAGGACTGTTTTTAAACAAACTGCAATTCTTTTAACACGTGGGGGGGGGGCACTCATTATATTGTACTCTTATGGTTGGACCATGGAGGTTCTGAGAGGTAGTGTGGTAATACTATATTTGTACCTGAATTGTAGCTTTTCAGATGTGACAACTATAGAAAACCCTTGCAGATATGTACCTGTGGTGGCATTCAAACAGACAAAATGCTGGGCTGCAGAGATGGGGATAAATTTAGGAGATATTGAATTCTCGAAGACATCTTATGTCTTGTCCTAGTGTGTCTAAAACACACAGTCACATATGCTTTATCTTAAAAACATCCTGGAAGTTCTGTGTAAGACTTTGGAGGAGTACTGTCTCCACCAATCAGTAGTGGAAATGGCCTTAAATAGTGGCAAGGAAGATAAAATGTCTTCATTGAGGGGGGGGGGGTGTTGCCTGCCAGTCCGTGCTGCTGATATGACAGTAATGACTTGCAACCATGAGACCAGTCACTTTTAGCTTGGCTTCTTTGGGCTCCTGTCCTCTGAGTGGTGCTCTGTAGTATTGATAAGGAGAATCTTGTCACTGTCTGACTTTAAGAGCTGTCTGAGTCCTTCTGTGTTCCTGTAATAGTCTATTGTCTTATGGCTGCTTGCTGTGTGCAAAGAACTTGTGAAAATTAGAAACAACAACAGAACAGATTCTTGCCAAATTTTGGTTCATCTGCTGCTCTACCCATGCACATGTTTTTTTTTCAAAATGTGAAAGCTGGCTTCCCCTTTGCTTTGGCTTGCTAACTGGCTGGATCCCGATCCAAAGTTTTGTCTGTAGCATTCAGGTGATTTTGATAAGCATGGGTTGCATGAGTGCTTCTTGGGAGCTGCTACCCCAAGCTAACCTTTCTGCGTCGTCTTCATTTGCTGGTTGATTCATCCACCTATCCATCCATGTTGTGGAACTCCTTTCTGGACATTCATTTCTTCTTCTTCTTAATTTCATTTTAAATTATTGGCTTCTTTTGTTGCTTTTGTCATCTGACTGTCCATTCTGAGGTCTGTTCTTGGCATGGTAATTTGAGATAAGGGACTAGTCTGAGCCTAAACATTCCTTCTGTCCTACACCTGAAGATGCTGATTACTCTATGGCCGTTCTCTCTATCTGGATCTTTCAGGTGTGGTGACTGACCAGGATGGTGTGCGCCCAGATGCGAACCTGATGAATGGGGGAGGCTCAGCTTTTCTCCTTCCAGCCTTTGAACACTCTTCTTCCATTGCAGACCATCTAGACAGCAAGGAGACAGCTGACAGCACTCTCCAGGTTTTCATACTGCCTGACACCACACAGACCCAAAGAGTGGCAGAGGGTGGTACTAAGGCCAGGGTGCTTAGGAGCACTCGGGGCCAGGGAGCTGCAGAAAGCATGGATTTCCATGCTGGCAATGGTGCTGTCATATCGGCAGAAGAATGGGCATTTGCAGCTGTATCCCAGGGACCTGAATCTCTAATCATGAACACTGCATCCTTCTTGGACCCAACCATAACACAGCACCAGTTGTCCAGCCAGCTCAGAAACCTTCCTTCCTCACCACTTAGTCAACAGCATACTGAACTCTTAGAGACCAAGTCTCTCTTTTCTGGTTCAGGAGCAACCACTGGCAAAGCATTGCCAAGTGATTTACCTTCACAGCATCTCCCTCTCTCTGGCTTAGCCAGGTCCTCCCTTCATAAGCAATGGCTTCGGGCACAAGAAATGAGTGAGACCACTCCAGGACACAAGTCTGATTGGGAAGTGGCTACCTCCAGCAGCACACGCAGCCTAACCGTGGCAATTCCTGTCAACCTAGAACCAGTGTATGACTCAGGAGTATCCTCCAGGAGCAGATGGGTGACACTTTCACCCAATGACCCAACTCTTTTCCTTGACTTTGATTCAGAGGATTCTGTCTCTGCAACACAACATCCTTCTAGATTGACAGTCACCACAGAGAGCTCATCCTCTCTCCAGCAGTTATCTGCAGAAGGCTATTCTTTGGGGGAGGAGGGCAGCAGTGGTAGATCTCCAGGAGGATATCAAAGCACCCAACTGCGAGAGAGGAGAGCAGAAAGAGAAGAGGGCCTGGTTGAGAACAGGGAGGCAGAAGAGAGTATGCCAGGGCCCGGCGTTGATCAGAGCTTCATTCCTCTGAACACAGACAAGCCAGAACCCAGCGATACCCGAGGGATGACTATGACTTATGTGATGGTGGCCAGTGTCCTGGGGATTCTGCTGGCAGTGGGAGGCTTGCTGTTCTACTTGCATAAATCCAGGGTAAGGTCCAGTCCTGGTTTAACAAACCATTCTCTCTTGTATACCTCTTGTTGTTGTCCTTGCAGTACCTTTGGCTGCTTCCATTGTATATGTGATGCCCAGAGTTGTTTTAAGAAGACAAAACATGCTCAAAATGCCTCCCCTCAACTAATCTTCCTACTATTTGCCATTCCAATATTGTTTCATTTACTCTTGTATTCCTTGAGAAGAACTGGTTGGTCATTGAAGGGCATTCCTCTTCTGCTCCATATTTTTCAATATCGCTTTCAGTTCTGGATTGTCTGGACCACATTAAATTTCAACATATTTTACAGTCACAAAACAGAGTCATTCTTTCTGGGGAAATAGCTCCCAGTACAATATTCCCAAATTTTCAAAGTGTATAAGTGTTAGGAACTGAAACCACTCTTCTGCTCAGTGGTATTGGCTAGAAGAGTTCTTCTGCTTCTGCAGTACATCTCACATCTGTAAATTGAAACCAGTGGTCTTGAGTGACTTGAAAGTCTTAAGGAATTGAAGATGTGATGAAAATGAAATCTTTCTCATTGAGATTTAAAGGGATGTGTAGTTTTGTACTTAGAAAACGAACTTCAGTAAAAGTTCTATGAAAGACAGGGTACCATCCTGGCTGTCAGAAAAATCCAAAATGTGTTATGATAATACATCTATTACACTAAATAAACAAAACCAAAAATGTGTGTGGTAGCTTTTGAGATCCCAAAATATCCTCATCAGATAAAATGTCCCAGAAAGGTGGAGAAAGAGGATAACTGCACAAGGAGAGGAGATTATATGAAAGTCATAAAGCCTATCTGTTATGAAGATACTCCTGCAGATTCTAAAGTAGGACTGACCAAATGATTAGACAATGTCCCGAGCTGGGAGAAAATAAATAAATAATGTCAGGCTTGACACAGAGTAGGCTTCAGGCTTCCTTGGAATGGGAAAAATTATGCTTTGGTTAATTTTAAAAATACAGAACTACAGCATAAACTTTTGAGTTTATGCTGTGGTTTTGTATTTTAAAAATGAAATTAAGTATAATTTCCCCACTCCAGGAATAGAAATCATGCATAGAGCAGCCTTCATCTATTACAACCAGGCTGGGTAAGAGGGCTGGGAGTTGCAGTCTATTAAAAATATGGAGGCCACCAGGTTGGGGAAGGCTAGTAAAGGTTTTCTAAGGTAAGAATGGTCAACTGTGGCCCCTTCAGATGTTTTGGATCTACAACTCTTATCAGCTAGTATAGTGTGCGGTGAGGGATCGTGGAAGTTTTGTCCAAAAACAAGTGAAAGGTGTTTTCTAGTTATGGTCCCTTAATTTTTTAAGTGGAAACTATTTCTAAATAGAAAAATGTTAACAGTGGCATTGTGCAGGGCAAGAATTAGAGCCATAACGTGATACCATATACTTAGCCCTTTAGAGTATTCATAGATGCTTTCTATATACCATGAAGGAAACTCACCATTTGTATTTGGGGTTCAGAGACAAGGGGTTTTGGCAGCACATAAAACTGAATGGGAATCTCCTGACTGGTCCAGTCATAAATATATGTTTTCACTTAACATCATCTGGAAATCTGCAGAGAAGCTTCTCCTTAATTGCAACCTATCAGACAATACTATAACAAATACTCCTACAGTCCTGCTTACTTTCCATCAGATGTTTTTTAGTACTCAACCTTCCTTTTCATCCACACAGATCTTAGCAAGGCGGCAACCACAGAGGAATGACAACAACGTGGAAAGACCAGAAGAAGGAAGGTAAGAAGCTATATTGTGTAATTCAGACCCAAAATGTAGGGGTTCTCTTATTGACCCTTCCATGTTTCTGTGCACCTTAGTAGGTAGTCATTTCCTGACTCTTAGATTTCCTCATTCTTTTTTGACTACAACTCATGTTTTGTGCCTGAAATCACTAGGTCTATTCTCACACAATTCCTTTCTTGCAAGCCCTCCTGGCAAATGAAAACTCTAGATGACATCTACTAATGTATCTAAGTTACTGCTCTTAATTTAAGTGCTAGACTGACTTTCATCTTTCCTTCTTTCTTAGGCCACTGAATAGAGGGGAGGAGCATATAGAACTGCAGATCCAAGAAGAACTATGAGGTAAGATCACTCATTTTGATGAGAGTAGAGAATGCATTGTGGGGGGGCGGGGGGGCTGGGTATCTTCTCTGCTATGGTAGAGCTTCTGGAAGGAACAAAATAAGACTATGGTAAAATAAGACATGAGCACTTGCTATCTAGGTGGAGGGACATGAGTCTCCATTTTGGGAAGAAGTTCTGCTCTGAATACCAGCTGCTGGGGACAAACACAAAACGCTGTTGCTTTCCTGGCCATTATGTGGATTTCATACCTGTATTTCAGTGGGTTCTATTGAAAACAGTATATTGTACTAGACGGAACTCAGTTTGATCATGAGGTGTTGCTTAGGAGTTCAGCCATTGGCAATTGTCCTCAACCATCAGCTGAACGCCACTGGTTGCATGCAACCTGTTACCTCCTTTCTGTGTAGGAACATGTTTCCTACAAATGCAGTAGGTGGTATGGAATGTGGCTTTGTCCTCAGGGGCAGCAACAGATAGGGATCAATTTAGAGTACATTCTTAACCTGGGAAAATGCGGCAAACCCACCCCTCTTACAAAGTTCTTTTTGTGGAGTCATAGGTCACTCAAAGCACTGTGACTGGAGAGGTTGATTCTCTCTTCCATGTGTCTGGGCCAAAGCTTGCAATCCCTTTAATATCCACCCTGCTTTGGTGGGTCAAACTGAACTCTCCTGGAGGTTCTGCAACCTGTTTACTAGGGCTTTTTTTAGATCAAGAACAGGTGACCCCTGGTTAAGTAGGCTTGGTTTGGGAGGGCAGCATAGTCCTTTACCTTGACAGCTCAGAACTGCAGAGCTAAGTTGCTTTCCACCTTTGGGAAGATGCACCCATCCCTTCCTTTCCTTAACTCCAACTGATGATTAGAGAAATAAATTCCATGAATCAACTCTCCTTCCTTTCACTCAGGCCCATAGCCAGGATTTTGATTTGGGGGGGGGGGGGGGTGAGTCTGAGTGAAAGAGGGTCTACCCTAGCAAACCTTTTGTATCGTTACCCCAATACCCCCATGCATATGGGATATATTGAGTATGGTGATCAGATCATGATATGAATAAACATAACAGTTTAAATAATGCACCAGTAAGGCCTTCTCATGGACTACCATGAGAATTTTGCCCCCCCCCCCCCCCCTGGCTACATGCCTGCTTTTCACTGAAGGAGTGAGTATTAAAAAGAGATGGCATAAAACAGTACAAATCTTTCTCTGCAATTTGCTGGGATCAGTCAAGCAGTTAGAAATGAAGTCTCATTTTTCCAACTTTTTTCTTTTTAGAAATGTTATTAATATGTGTTAGAGTAGTTTAAGGTAGTTTGTATTATTTCATGTGTGTGTTTTATATAGTATAACTTTGTTCTTTTTAAAAATATGTTTTTATTGAAAAACTTCTAAAATTGGTGCAAGTGTTTACAATATTAATATAATATATTGCATCTTAGCTGTGTTGTTTGTAAGACATGTTGTCTTCATCACTAGAAAAAATGTTGTGTCTGAAAGGGTTTTTTTTAAAAAAAAACAACAAACTATCACTTTACAGCCCCTTATAAGATGGCTGGTAATAAAAACTTAGGTTGTACTTAGAGACCATTCTTTTAAGTCATGCACTCACTATTACTATCATCATTATTGCATATTGCATTGCTATAATGGTTGTTGTTTTCTTTCTAGCTGGACCTTTCTTTCTAAAGAGAAAACCTGTGTGGGGCTTGGATTATCAGCCCCCTCTTTTAAAGTTATGGTCCTCTTAATACTATTCAGAGGAATTTAAAGACTGGATTTTGAGGATTGAAGGAGTTGCTCCAGCACTTTCCCACAAAGAGTATTTTCTCTTTCCCTTTTTTTTTTTGTAATGAAGGCAAGGTATTAATGAGGAAATGGACACTTATTTATTTCTGGCACTGAAGGTTGGCTTCCAGAAGGATGTTTTTGCCAGACATGCAGCAAGCTGGAACTTGATCAGCAAGATGGAAATCATCTGGAAGCTGACCTGGACTTCAGAATCTCTCCTCTGGTTTGGGGAGTGGGGTCTTCATGTTTAGAACCACTGCACCAACTTCTTCCTGGAGTGAAAAGGGGGACCTTCCCTCCTTGGTGGAAGTCTGCACTTCAAAGAGTCCTCTGGGCATGGATGAAAACCTTTCAGACAACAATTCCAGGAGCTTCTGGCTTCTCTCTTGAACTACAGAAGACTTCAGGAGATCCATTAACCTATATTCTCTGAAGACTTAACTCACGAATTATATCTCTGGATCATGACAACTTGTAGTTGTCTAGGCACTTTGTCCCTCTGGTTTCCACCCACTTATTTTAAACTGTGTGTGTCATGTAGCCCAGGGAAGGAAAAGGTTCATTTTCATAGGAAGATGTGTTCTGCTTATCATCTAACTCCCCGGATAACTTTGTGCCTTAACTAGAGAAAGTTGTTATTCACAGTGGCCTTCTCTGTCTTCATTTAAGTTTTTACTATCGTCTAGTTTTTAATCTCATTTTAAAAATAGGACCCATGCTTGTAACTTTTAGGTTCTAAGTAGAACTGAATATCATGTAATAAAACTTTTTTAATTTAGTTTTAGGGCAGACAAAAGTACTACTTCATACAGTGCAAGTTAGGAAATTTCATGCAACAGGAGTAGAGGTAGTAGCTACTAACTTTTATGGATTTGAAATGGAGTTAGACAAATACAGGGAGAGATTGCAAGCTATTTGTAGGAACGATGGATGATATATCAATCAACTGATGGCATAGCACTCAAGAAATGAGGTAGACCTGCAGTCCTTTTGCACTGTTTGATTATGGGATTCTTGGTACACCTTTCATGAGTCACAGTTGGAAAATGAAGTTGAACTAAATGAACCTGCAGGACTGATCTAGTAGGTTTACCTAGTCTTCAAAACATATTAGAGTTCTAATGTATGCTACCAGTTGGAGGATTTCACAATGGTAATAGTAATCATATTTATGTCTAGCAGCCTTAACCCAATTTGGTATCTTCCAGATATGACTGATTACAAACTCCCAGCATTCCTTGGCAACAAAGCCAGTAGAATGCATCAGTTTGAGGAAGGTTGTTTTATTGTCCCAAGTTGTCTTTGTGTTTGACGTAGCAGAACACAATGTTTTGATGTAAATCAGGATATTATCTTGAAATGCCTAGGAGAAAATTTGATGTAGAAATGATTTTGACTGTCAGTTGTAACTGGAAAAGAGAGTGAGGTGGGGAGAGTCCAGTCACCAGCTCCCTGTTTACTGCTTTCTGGATCTTGCAGAGCACAGTGGCTGGCAACCACATGGAAGTTCTGCAGCATTGGTTCCATGCAGAAACCTAATATAAATCTTTTCTTAGAGCATCTTATAGCCACAGATTTCTTCTCAGCTTAATTTCCTTCCCCTGAGCCAAGGAATCATGGTGCAGTAGCCCCAATTCCCAATCCCCCCCTAGCAGCTTTTACAAATCTATTCCAAAGACTGAGAGAAGAACTTTATTTTTATAAATCACTGTTTCTGTATCAGTGTTTGCTGCAGGAACACAGAAGTAATGGAAATCTGCTCCATGGAAGAAAAAAGGTTGTGGCCCTGTTCTGAATTTGCACTATATATGCACTGTGTGTTTCCTACCACACTCCCAAGAACATTCCAACCCCACACCTAGGAATGTAGGATATATGTGGATGGGAAGCTGTCCAATTTGTCAGTCTGCCCCAGTCTCTTGCCATATTATGCCTGATCCCCATCTACTTTCTATTTCTGACCTTCTGCTCGCCTTGCCTTTCCTTCCTTTTTTTGTAACAAGGCAGGTGATAAACCTGAGCCAGCCTTGGGATGACCATGGGTCCTGTCTCTATCCGAGCTTTGAAATACTAGATGGTAAATTATGGGACAAATTGTTCTGTTGGTGTAACTTGTGGGGCTCTGTGAGGAGCTGGCTCTAAATGGGGGTACACATGCTGTGTTATTGACGTGAGCGGGTCTCAATGTACACATAAAGGGTCTTGATAACTTTCTTCTTCATGTGCCAGTGAATTTTATTCTATCTTACAGTATGGGTGCAACATTCTGAGCCATTAAGGCATATTGGCCTATATTTAGTGTTTCCATTTTGTCATTGAACTAGTTAATCTAGTATTTTTTCTAAATACAACAGAAGAATTTATAGTTGTTTTATCCTGAGTTGCAAGAGGAAACTGTGTTGGCCTTCAGTGATACCTCATTTTTTACTTCTTTTTCCTTCTCCTCATTCCTAGTCTCATTGCTCACTATATTCCATAGTGGGCTTGGCCACACTTTGGAGGGTTAATGACAAGCTCCATCTTTGCTTTTGATGTCAGGGAGTACAGAAGTTCAGGTGTTCAGGCACTAGCAGCGTATGCAGGTCAATGAGCCATCACACAGGATTTGTTCTGCTCTGCATCCGAGCAGTGTTTGTTTATCTAGCATCCTGTGATCAGATTTGTCATTGTGTTTGGATGCAGCATACACTAGGTATTGTTCCATCTTGAGCACTGATTTGCGGCACAGTAAAGATTAGGTATTAAGGCCAGATCCTAATAGCCACCCTTCCCTTGTTGTGGGTTTTTAATTTTTTATAGATATGTGTGTGTGTATAAATGCAAAACCAGTGGAGAGAAGTTCCTTTCAAAGAGAGTTACAATTCTGGTTTAAACTGTGTTTTTATATATTTTTTTTCAAATGATGAAATATTTTATATGGAATACTTTTAAAATGGTTAAATGTTTATTTAAAGATAGCAATGTGGTATTTAATAATAATAATAAAACACAGACGTGTAACACTTTTAAATTCTTGTGTAGTGTCCAACTTACTGATTATAAGAATTGGAAGAAGGGCTATATGAAGAAAAAATGAATAATGCAACTTACAGCTCTTGAAGTGTTTGGAATGGCTGCATGGTGCTTTCTTACTATCGAAATGATGTGGGCCAGGATTGGGAGAATAGTTCACCCCTTCAGCATTTCTCATTATTAGCCATGCAAGCGAAAAAGTCTGGAATTATAGTCCAATAACATGGAGCCCCGGGTGGCGCAGTGGGTTAAAGCACTGAGCTGCTGAGCGGCGTGAGCTTCCGTTGTCAGCACTAGCTTCTGACAACCTAGCAGTTCGAAAACATGTAAATGTGAATAGATCACTAGGTACCGCTTTAGCAGAAAGGTAATGGCAATCCATTCAGTCATGCCGGGCACATGACTTAGAAGGTGTCTATGGACAGTGCCAGCTCTTCGGCTTAGATATGGAGATGAGCACCACCACCATCAACCCCTTCCTTATTTATTTATTTACTGTCCTTGTATACCGCCGTTTCTCAGCCTAATTGGCGACTCAACGCGGTTTACAACAAAATATACAGTGCACAGTATACAATTAAAACCATAAAAAACATAATACACAATATTACACGAAATCACAATCCAATACATCTCCTAACTAAAATCGTGGTCCAATTGCATCATCCATATTACCAATCCATAATCAACACATTCATTGCACCGAATTAGCCAAATGCCTGCTTGAACATCCAAGTTTTTAGTCTTCTTCGGAATACCATCAGCGAGGAGGCTGATCTTACCTCCATGGGAAGGGCGTTCCAGAGCCGAGGGGCCACCACAGAAAAGGCCCTGTCTCTCGTCCCCGCCAGCCGCACCTGTGAAGCAGGCGGGATAGAGAGCAAGGCCTCCCCAGAAGATCTTAGGGTCCTGGTGGGCTGATAGGCCGAGATACGTTCGGATAGGTAGGTTGGGCCAGAACCGTTTAGGGCTTTAAAGGCCAACGCCAGCACTTTGAATTGAGCCCGGTAGCAAATCGGCAGCCAGTGGAGCTGGCGCAGCAGAGGAGTGGTATGCTCCCTGCGCTCCGCTCCTGTTAGTATCATGGCTGCCGGACGTTGGACTAATTGAAGCTTCCGAGCCGTCTTCAAAGGCAACCCCACGTAGAGAGCGTTGCAGTAGTCTAAACGGGATGTAACCAGAGCGTGGACTACCGTGGCCAAGTCAGACTTCCCAAGGTACGGGCGCAGTTGGCGCACGAGTTTTAACTGTGCAATGCTCCCCTGGTCACCGCCGAAACCTGGGGTTCCAGGCTCAGCGATGAGTCCAGGATCACACACAAACTGCGAACCTGCGTCTTCAGGGGGAGTGCGACCTCCAAACACAGGCTATACCCTGTTCAGCCCTGCGACTGACCAGGAGTACCTCTGTCTTGTCTGGATTCAATTTCAATTTGTTCGCCCCCATCCAGACCGTCACAGCGGCCAAGCACCGGTTCAGGACCTCGACAGCCTCCTTAGTAGAAGGTGGGAAGGAGTGACAGAGTTGGACATCATCTGCGTACAGATGACACCGCACCCCGAAACTCCGGATGATCTCACCCAGCGGCTTCATGTAGATGTTAAACAACATGGGGGACAGTATTGAACCCTGAGGAACCCCACAATACAAAGGTTGTGGGGTAGAACAGGAGTCCCCCAGTAACACCTTCTGAGACCGACCCTCGAGGAATGACCGGAGCCACTGCAAAGCAGTACCTCCGAGACCCATTCCCGCGAGGCGTCCCAGAAGGATACCGTGGTCGACGGTATCGAAGGCCGCTGAGAGGTCCAGCAGCACCAACAGGGACACACTCCCCCTGTCGAGCTCCCGGCGCAGATCATCCACTAAGGCGACCAAGGCTGTCTCGGTACCATGCCCCGGCCTAAAGCCAGACTGTGCCAGGTCCAGATAATCCGTGTCTACCAAGAATGCCTGGAGTTGTGAGGCCACCACACGTTCCAGGACTTTGCCCAAGAAGGGGAGATTGGAAACAGGCCGATAGTTGACGAATTGAGTGG